CATAAAGAAAACAAAAATCCTCACATCTGGACCAATAAGCAACACCATGATAAACAGAGAAAAGATTGAAGTTGTCAAGGATTTCATTTTACTTGGATCTACAATCAACGCCCATGAAAGCAGCAGTCAAGAAATCCAACAACGTATTGCATTGTGCAAATTTGCTGCAAAAGATCTCTTTAAAGTGTTGAAAAGCAAAGATGTCACTTTGAGGATGAAGGTGTACCTGACCTAAGCCATAGTATTTTCAATTGCCTCATATGTATGCAAAAGCCAGACAATGAATAAGGAAGACTGAAGAAGAACTGATGCCTTTGAATTATGGCGTTGGTGAAGAATATTGAATATACCATGGACTGCTAGAAGAACGCACCAATCTATCTTGGAAGAAGTGCAGCCAGAATGCTCCTTAGAAGCGAGGATGGCGAGAATTCATCTCATGTATTTTGGGGGGGTGGGGGACATGTTATCAGAAGAGAGCAGTCCCTGGAGAAGGACATCATGATTGGTAAAGCAGAGGGTCAGTGAAAGAGAGGAACACCTTCAACGAGATGGATTGACACAGCGGCTACAATGATGGGCTAAAGTATAGCAACGATTTAAGGATGGTGCACGACCAGACAGTGTTTCATTCTGTTGTTCATAGGGCCACTGTGGGTCGGAACCAGTGACAGCACCTACCAATAACAACAACAATAGCATTGTACTCTTTTTTTTCAGTTTAACTTTTAAGTACTCACTGATAACTAGCAGAAAGGTTATAAACCTTTTATTTAACATTTGTTTACTCATGAGACCTTACTCTATCAGGAGATTTTTTAATCTAAAACTTTTTAATAAAAAAATTTTAATTTAGAATTAATTCAAGGAATGTGTGAAATAGAACACTGCACTTAGTAGGAAAGAACAGCTATGAAGTACTCTTTCAACTGGAACTCATTGCCGTCGAGTCAATTCGGACTCATATCAACCCTATAGGACAGAGTAAACTGCGCCATTGGGTTTCCAAGGAGTGGTTGGTGGATTCAAACTGCCAACCTTTTGGTTAGCAGCCGAGCTCTTAACCACTGCGCCACCAGGGCTCCTTCAACTGGAAGGATGGCTTTATTTCTAACAAGGAATGGAGACTTAGATGACGAGCTGGCAGGTGAATGACGGTAAAGTTGAACAACCATAGTTGGATATAGGAGGCCCCTCTTCAAGTCTTAACTCTGCTATTTACCATCTATCTGTGGTTTGACAAGTCATTAATCTCTACCCTACCATCTCAAAAGTTAAAGTGAACAGAAATACCAAGATAAGATTATGTATGTAAAATGTTTTGTAAATTATAAGGAGCTATCCAAATGAACAATTACTATCACTAATAATGAAATAATTAAAGCAGCAATAATACCATCTCTGTACTATCTGAGGCAGGTATTCATCATGGATATTTATTACAGAGATGCAGTAGACACCAGCAAGTCAAAGAGATCCAGGTATAAAACAGATTCTGTTTGGATTGACTCATCCTAACTCCATTAGCAGGTTCTGTAGTGCTGATTGTATAATATAAAGAAAGTCATAAAGTACAGGATGTATTTTAAATTTGGTTTGCTTTCTTACTTCTTATCTACTTTTCAACTAAGAGGAGTAATAATATCATTTGAAGAACTTTTTTAAAAAAATTTTTCCCATACAAAAATTTATACCCTACCATCACATTGTTATGTGACCTTAATTGCTCTCCCCATACTGTGACAGCACACTCCTCCTTCCCACCCCTGATGCCCCGTGTCCATTCAACCAGCTCCTAACCCTCTCTGTCTTCCCATCTCACCTCCAGACAGAAGCTGCCCATTTAGTCTCTTGTATCTACTTGAGCTAAGAGGCACACTCCTCACGAGTATCACTTTATGTCCCACAGTCCA